ATAACAAGGAAAGAAGTGTCTTGAGATGGCTTAGCTTTGAACCACTCTTCACCATCTTTGGTTTTGATCTCAACGCCATCTACTACATCGTTCTGGCAAAGTATGTTAATGAGCGTCAAGGCCTAGCTTCTCCTCCGCGTTATCACTAAGTCCTTTGTATTTAAATAGATGAAAATGGTTGAATGCTGAGTTAAGATGCTCCTCAACGTATTTCTCGAGTCCGAAACTCTCCATGATCACTGTCCTCACTTTCATGCTTAGTTCTATTAACTTCTTTGCAAACGACTGAACAGTATTGCTGAAATATATATCGCAAATCATAGTATACCACATCACTATGTGCACGTGAAGCAAGTGCAAGTGAAGCATTCGAACAAAATCTCGTTTAGAAATCTTTATAATAAACTAGAATATATAAAATTATAAACGTATCGAGTAGGGCTTATATGTTAATTTATTTTTTAGGAAAATCATTTAACACATTAAATATACTTTTAGCAAAATTGTTTGGGATAACCCTAATTGTTTATGATTGATAATTTTAAACGAGTTTTAAAATATTAAAACTGAGAGCATCTCCAATGGTGTTACTACCATTGGAGTCCTTAAGCATTATTAAACAATTTTTTTTTTATAATTTTTTTGTTTGAATAGTTAAGGATTCTAATAAAAAGAACTACTCCAATGGTGTACTCCATTTTAGAGTCCTTAGGGAAAATAAAACTTGATGCTATGACTACAAAGATTATAGTACTACCATTGAAGTGAAAAAAAAAGCAACCAGATTATTAAAGAAAATACGTGATAAACAAGAGAACTACTCACCACTAATGAACACGAAAGGCACAGATACATACATAATCCAACCATTGTCCGAGGATTAAGAAAGCAAACGGACATTACCATTCCCTCCATTCACGGTTGCTGTGATCAGCTGATGCTTACCACCTTCATCTCCATCGGCTGTTTGTGTCCAGAATGTTTGCTGTCTCCACTGCATTGTTGTCAAGGCCTCCCTGCAATGAACATTAGATTCACACACACACAGTTATGTACTGAGACAAAGGTGATGCCTATATTCTATTCTCTTTGGTGTTGATTATCTCATATCCTAATCCTTTTTTCTTTTGAAACCCGTTGCTATGAGGGTTATGCTCACCTTGTACCAATAAAAAAATCAATCTCTACATCTCCAGAGGACACATATGTTAGTAAAAGACAAAGAAAAAGACATACTTGACCGCTGAGAGATGGATCCACAACAGCTCCGAATATAAGATTAGCAGTTGGATCAACAAGATCATATATAACTTCCGCAGCAGCATTTACCTACAAGAACACCATAGTGTATAAGAAACATGTAGAGCATGTTCAGGCTTTGCTCTGAGATAAGAAACACATATGAGAGAGTAAGACCTCGAACAATGTCAAGTCGGTTCCACCAGTGATGTTCCAAACGATCCCAGTGGCTCTCTCAATGCCAATATCTAGCAAAGGTGACTGAATCGCGTTGAGTGCAGCATCTCTTGCCCGGCTCTTTCCTGCTTGGTTACCATTTACATTACAGAGAGCCTAATCAAGATTTCTCTATGACACTAACCCTTGTCTCAAAACTTGAAAACAAACAACAAGCTCTTGACTTTATCATCACAGAACTCCCTTCTGGTCACGAGTAACCAGAAAGCCACATGGGAGAATGTAGCAAACGCAGGAACAGGGGAGACACATCCCAAATGCGTCCAACTCTCTCTCTTCGGTATCCTCGTTGCGCTAAGGAGAGCAGCAAAACACAAAGGCAAGGCCTTTATTTGCGTAAAAGTTTGTAACTTTTTTTTTTGTAAACTGCTAAAAGTAAAACAAAATTAGAGGTGAAGAGATGAAAGTACACTCACCTTGAACCACCTCGGAGCTTCCACGCTACCTCCTCAAACACTGGATCCTCTTAATTTTCCTCCTCGCCCTCGCTTTACTACTCTTCGAATCAACCAGGATCGGAACCAAACCTGAGCTGAAACAACACAATCCGGATTCAAGCCCTAACAAAAAAATCGAAGGAAACTTGAATCGATTGGATCCCACAACAAAAGTCATCGCTGGTGTTAGGCAAGAGGGAGAGACAGCCGGAGAAGAGAGAGAAGAAAGCCACGTCAACAAGGACTTGGTCCTTAAAATCCCTATTTAAGGATTAGTCCTTAACTTGTGTGATTTGTTTAATGTCTTTTATTCTCTAAAAGCTAAGGATTTGTCCTAAGGACCACATTAACAACCCCCGTTGCACCTGCTCTGATACAGGCGGATGTAAATCTGCATGCGATCGAACAAATGTTAAATCCTGATTTAAAATTATTTTTTAAGGGACATGAACAGAACTATAAAAGAAGTGAACCTGAAGGTAACGTTGCCATGAGGCCAAAGCTTGCGAGTCAAGTCATCGACAGATTCAGGATCTTCGACACCGTTAAACCCTATGCCTTCGTATAAAGGCAGTTCCGGATTCTGAAGTTCGTATCCATGGTTAAGTTTCTCTGACTTTGAATTCAGTTTGGTCTCCAAAGGTAAGTCAAAAACTTCCTCCGAGGCCTTGAACAGTGCCTTCCTTAGCTCCACCGAAACTCCATCGAACAAAGCCTCGAAACATCCGTATTCTTCTAGGGCTTTTCGGACTTGGGATTTCACTGAGTCCCACTCGGGAGTTTTTGGTTTGAGGTTTGGAACCGAGAAGTCGATGACCGGAAGGGTTAGGGCAAATTGGGTTTTCGAACTTATCGTCATTAGTTCTTTTAGAATTAAGAGTGTAGTTTGTGTATGTGTTGTGTGTATATTTCGTAGACTTGGTTGGTTATTATATAGAAGGATAAAGTCGATGTGTTCACGTGAGTATGGTCGTAAACTAATCCATTTTATTAGATTTGGAATACAAAAAGACTGACCATACTATACGCATATCACCAAGCTCTGGTCTGCTGACCTGATTACTAAATTACAATTAAACTAGCATTTCTTGAAATTGTTAAAATTAGCACTGAAAACTATCAAATATAACAACTTATAGTATTATTATGATGTTTCCTTATGTAAATTGTGGCATTATAAAAATAAAACAATTCAAAGTTGAGTAAACAAATAAATAAAGGTACACCATCTCACGTGATACGCTTTACTTAAATGTCACGCTTTCTTACATGGCCACTAAACACTAAAATATCAATAACATCCGGTTCACAATGCCCCTGTTTGTGCAGCGGAGACATTTGATAAAATTATGATTCATGAACTTTTTGAATGTTCTCCAACGTAGTAAAATATGGAAAATACTGTTAATTCTCACGTCACTCGCAACTATCATCGAATTTTGAACATATGTATATGACATGTTTCTCTTGCATGACTCAGTTTTAACATTCTTAATGGACCCCTCTAAGGCTCTATATCAAATTTACATGTGGCTCATTAAAAGCTCAATATGATATATGATTTAGGCTCAAAATATTAAACATGGCTCAGAGTGTCAAAGCAGATTAATCCGGCCCATATAACTTGCTCTGCTACAAGTTCAGCTTAATTGCGGACTGGAGAGGGTTGACTCACTAAAATCCATGAACTTTCTAAATTGATAACCTTAACCCATCTCAAGCGCACAAAAAAAAAAGAAAAAGAAAAAACCTTAACCCGTCTTGCATCATGATTGATGACCATTGGGTTAACAATGAAAACAAAGAGTTTAAAAAGTATATAAAAAAGCATATAACTAAACCAAGATCAATTATAAACTATTACAAATTTAGTTTTAATTATAAAAGTCATATTTCACCACAAAAGAAAAGAAGAAGATAGAGTCCTCAACGTTTCTTAACAAATTCTTTCAAAATCATCATTTGCATAATGTACAATTTAGTCACCACAAAGATGTTAGCCATAAAAAATTATAGAAATTTTGCAAATAATAGTAGGCATGGGCATTCGGATATTCGGTTTGGTTCCAGGTATATCAAATAAATCATTCTTATAACCAATAGGTACTTATGCGATTTCGATTCGGCTCCAGTTCAGTTCCAGTTCGGTTTCGGATACCCGTTTAATATATAAATCAAATATATATATATATATATAATATATTAGTTAATATGTTAATTTAAATGATTTAGTGTTTACACACTTACATATTCGTTAATCCAACAAGATTTCGAATTAATAAAGTGTTAATTTTATAAATATTAATCGTATTTTAATATAGAAAAAAAAAATATATATATATATATATATATTTATAGTATAAGAGAATAATAATAAAATATAATGTGGTTTGGTGGAAAAAAAATGTTATTACTCTTTGTATTCAACCTAGGTTCAAGTGGCCTTGATGTCAATTTGTTTTTTCGGATCTTCGGGTACCCGTTCGATTCTCGATTTGGTTTCGATTCCAATTTGGTTTTTTTTGGTATAGAAATATAGGAACCATTCGGATATTTAAGAATTTCGGTTCAGTTTGGTTTCAGTTTCAGATATTTCGGTTCAGTTTTGATTCGGTTTTTCGGTTCAGGTTTTTTTGCCCAAGCCTAAATAATAGTATGACTTATTTGTAATCAATACTACCTTTTAATTTCACCTTTCCAAAAAATCAAAAAGAAACTCAGTAAAGTATATCATAAGAAACCTCCATTAAGATGAAAATGGGGGAGGAGCGTGGGTCCAACGTGGCAAGTAACCGTTACACTCTCACAAGCCGTTACCGTGCTTACGTGGCACGACTTTTCAAATTCTCTTCTCCCACAGCTATTTTATATTATTTTATGTACTTATATACATATTAATAAAAAGATATGGTCGTCGTGAAATTTACGACAGAAAATCCGACCGTTGTTTGAGTTCATGTTCTTCTTCTTGTCCGAAACAGAACTCACATTCCCAAAAAGTTTCTTTTTTTTTTTCCTTCTCCTCAATCAAACACGAAACCTAGATAGTGAACAGCTGCTCTTGCTCTTCTCTTGGTGACGACGACGATGTTGGGAGATTACGATATAACGGAGGAAGACATGTTAATCGATGAAGCTCAAGGCTACCCTATAGCTTACGCAAAGATCTGCCGCGATTTCAACACTTTTCCGTACAGAAATGGACCTCCTTTCACCTTCATACCCTACATTCTCCAGCAGAACGAGGTAATCTGATCAAAATCATATATACAGATGTGAAAATGTGATCCTTATAATACTTTTGTGTTGTGTTGTTTGATTGTCCTGAAAGAGTTCAAGAAGCAGAGAAGTAGATCAGATGTTCCCTGTAATTGATCCAAAAGCAAGACCTACTACAAAACCAAAGATCTTTTTAAGTCTTCTCTGGAAACAACTCAATCATTTAGGGTAAGCACTCATCATGAGTATAGACTAGTATAACATTATTTTAGAAAAACTTTATATCTCTATATAAATCTCCAAATTATGTAAAAAGTATATAAACCTTTAATAAATTGTATAGCTCTTATAATTTTATAATTATAACTGTATAGAATCTTATAATTTTGATTTTGTTTTTTTTTTGTAGAAATGCTGGGTTTGATCCAGCTGTAATCCGGATAGATCCATATGGGAATGTACTCTACTTCCACGCTGATTCAGCTTCTCCTCTTGCTTGGGGTTTTGATCATTGGTTCCCTTGCTCAAGTACACACATCCTCAAGTTTTATCTCCTTTTAGGATTCTTGTTTCGTTGTCTGATTTGATTTAAAAAGCTTTTTGAATTTGATGTAGGAGGAGGTTTAACAGTACCAAGCAACCTAAGGATAGTGCAGTGGCAAGCACGCAAGAACAAGAAGGACAAACTTGAGTTCCTTGTACCATGGTGGGATCTTCAAGTTGGCATCTCAGTGAACCAGTTCCTCTCTATCTTTGCCGCTTCAAGTTCTGATTTCAAGAAGAGAGCGTTTTCATTCTTGTTCAAAGAAGGTGAAAGCGAGGAGCTTAACGGCTCACAAACAGTTGACTCATATCGTTTCCCAAACCATTTTATGGAATCAAAAGACAAGTGTGGTCTTGCTTCAGCTGCAGTTGTTGTCTCTAGGAGAGAGCCTTATGACCCTTCATTAGTATTGAGATCACTTGATTACAATCGTCAACAAACACCTGGTTAGTTAGTTAGTTAGTTAGTAACTAACTACTAACTCTTTGAACTCTTTCTTTTATCTATTTGCTATATTGAAAGCAACTATGTGTATCATGCAGCGAGGAAGATGAAGGAGACGCCAGATTTGATGAAGAATCCTTATCAAGCCATTGTTGCTGCTAGGGATTCACTGAGAAACCGAGAGGAAGCGCAGAGTATGAGAGTTGAGATGAAGAAGTTAGATGATGAAATGAATGATTTGAAGAGTAAGAACAGTGAAGAGCAGGTTAGTATTCAGGAGCTTGAGAGTGAGCTGATTAAGCGGAGAAGAAGAGCTGAGAAGTGCAGGAGATTAGCAGAAGCTCAATGCTCTTATAGGAATACACTTGAGAAGATGATCAGGGATGCTATGCACCAGTAAGAGATTGATTTTCTCTTATATACCATTTGGATATGTTTAGCTCAATGAATGTTGATTGGTTTTGATTTTTGTTTTGTAGGAGTGTTGTGTATAAAGAACAAGTGAGGTTAAACCAGGCTGCAAGTAGTGCACTGATGGCGAGGTTAGAGGCGCAAAAGGCGATATGTGATGGTTCAGAGAAAGAGCTTCACAAGAAGTTTAAAGAAAGAGAGGAGCTGGAGAGTCAAGTGAGGCCTGAACTGGAGAAAGCAAGGAAAAGATCAAGAGTTTTGCTGAATGATGAAGATGACTTGTTGCTGCTAGAGGATAGAGACAGCAAGTTGTCTTTGTATCTGCCTGGAACTAGTGAAGATACATCATTACAAAAGGAGTTAAGAGTGGACCTTGAAGAAGAACACAAAGCAGTAGCAGCTTCTGAGGTTGAAACTCAGAAGCATGGGGAAATAGAGGAAGTGGAAGAGGTTCCTGAGAAATCTCTTGTTGCATTAGAAAAGCTAGAAGATGGGAAGAGAAGCAGCAGAAGCTTTAGAGCATTACCTGTATTCAATGAACCAGAGATAGAGGAAGATGAAGAAAGCAGGAGAGAGCGAGGGAAAGGAAACGTTGAGAAATGGCTCCATGTTCTACTTGAAAACAACAGTAAAGACAATCCACAAGACCTACAAGCTGATGAAAGAAGCAAAAAGATTGATGAAATGATAGAGAAACTAGACCACAAGTTCCCTCTACTTGAAAAGGTTAATGAAGAAGAAGATCTGGACTTGCAGGAGGAGGCAAAGAAGGTGGAAACAAGAGCTGAAAGCAGCTCACGTAGGAGCAGAGCTAGTTTTGATTTGAAGAACACACCAGAGAAGAGTGGGAGAGATAAAGTGGTGAAGAGATCAGAGAGTGCTAGAGCTTTCAGAAGAATCCCATCATCTCCTTCACTCTTCTTTGGAATGAAAAAGGACTGCGTCAAGAAGAAGCCTGTGGTTTCAGGTCAAGACGATGAGAAGGAGTATCTTGTCAAGAACAACTTCATCAAGTCATCTTTCCAAACTATCAAACGAGTTGTCAAATTCTAGACAACAACATTTTCATAATATATGCATTTGTTCTATTGTGTGAATCAAATATTGTTTTGTGTATAAAAAAACACTTCCTCCAGCTTGTTGTGTTGTTTTCATATGAACAAACACCAAAACATTGATTCAGAAACAAGAGAAAACAAGTCACACGCATGTCTTTAACAAAACAAACAACCACCTTAAAAACATACACAACTACTTAAAGCAAAAAGGTTCGAGAGAAAGACAGAGACGAGGGAGTAAAACAAAAGGCTATTTATTCATTCTTGGCCAGATTTGTTGATGAGAGACTTGTGAATGTGAGGAATGACACCACCACCAGCAATAGTTCCTTTGATGAGAGTATCAAGCTCCTCATCACCGCGTATAGCGAGCTGCAAATGTCTCGGTGTGATACGCTTCACTTTAAGATCCTTGCTCGCGTTACCAGCGAGCTCCAAGACTTCTGCGGTTAGATACTCCAAAATAGCGGCTGTGTAAACCGCTGCGGTTGCGCCAACGCGTCCGTGAGCGGTTGAACGCAGTTTCAATAGTCTGTGGACTCTTCCTACTGGAAACTGCAAACAAAGGGACAGAGAGAGAGAGAGACACACACACAAATTATTAAATACGGAAAGTACTTTGTTGCCTAACCTTCTACACAGTTCATTTATCGTCAAAAATATATGAAAAAAAACAAATTCTCAGGAGCTAGAACAAAGGATAAACTCAACTCGATCTCTAGAATCTAAATCAGAAATTCAGAAACTCGTAGATCCGTGATTTATACGTTTCACAAATACCAAGAAAAAAAGAGAGAGAGAGAGAGACCTGAAGACCAGCACGAGAAGAGCGAGTAGTGGGTTTCTTCTTATCTTTGTCCTTGTCCTTGTCGTTGGATTTGCCCATTATCAGACCTTTAGCTCCTTTTCCTGACATTTTCCCGCCGTAAATAAAACAAGTATCACCAGTGTCTTAACACGAAGAGATAGAGAGAGAGTGTGTTCTGTTGGAGAGAGAGAGAGAGATCCGAAGCTGATAGAAGTAGATGGACGCCTTTCTCAAGTCTAGTCAAGGCGATTGATTGACTTTTTTTATCTGTCTTGGATAGTTAAATTTGACATTTTTACCCCTCGGCCCAGGTCTCACCAATAGCCCAAGAAAGCCTATATTTAGCTTTAATGGATAAAAAATAACAAACTGGTCCTACTATTTAGTTTGAATCAGAAAAGTATCTCTTTTTCTTTGTCTTTTATAGTTTTGACACAGATACTTTAATGAGATAATTGGCTAAAGTGTCCTATTTAGCACCTATAATTAGAGAATTGTCCATGATGTGACAATCACTTTTCGTTGGACCATTTTGCCCTTATCTACACTCTCTCTCCTCTCTTTGACATCTCCCTTTTCTTTTTCTCTTCAATCCCTAATTATTTTACAAATCTCTATCATTCTATATACAATTAAATTTTAAATTTCATTATTTTTTTCATAAGTGGCTTTGAATCCTCAATTTTTTGATGATATCAATTTTCTAGGTTTTAGATTCGACGTCGTGTTAGCGGTTAACAAATATTGTAAACGTTAACAGAAGTGTTAGGTGTTAACAACTATTTTTACGTTTCGCGTTAATAAATGTGTTCGCTGTTAACAAATATGGTAAACATTAACAGAAGTGTTAACTGTTAACAATTATTTTTACGCTTCGGGGTAATAAATGTGTTGACTGTTAACAAATATTGTAGACGTTAACAGAAGTGTTATATGTTAACAAATGTTTTTACGCTTCGTGTTAATGAGAAGAAAGAGAAAGGGCATTCTCGGCATTTCCTTGCCAAATGGTTGTGTCAGTGTCCTTCATGTCTAATCAATGGTATTTTACTAATTTGAGCTTCAAATATGGGTAATTCACTAAATCACTGTACTTTAATCCATTACAAATACTCTCTACTGTTTCGTTGACTCGTTTACAAATAGAGCATTAACATTAACTCATACCAACAGTTGGTTTTTTTCCATCAATCTCATTAGATACCTTTATCTTACTTAGTTGAGTTTTGGTCGTTGATTTCTGATGTTTGACTCTTCATCATTCTCAAGCTTTCTCCTCAAATCCCTTAGATCTTCATCACCGATGTTACCATTCATCTTCTTGTTCAATGCATATGCTTCACCCATCTTCCTCTTGCACTCCTTGCTTGCTTCATCATGCATAACCACTGCCAACAACAGACCCAGAATTATTTGTAAAAGGCTTTTCCTTCCATATGTATAATAAACAGTAATTTTGATATTCCAGGCAACCACATAAGTCACTAAAACTTCATGATACTGTTTTTTAGCTAGACACAATCACATTCTTTTATATCTTAAAAATGTATATGGAGATAGAGAGACGGGAATACTAACTTGGTTTCGGGTAGTCCTTCCCCACTATGCACTTAGCTTTAGTTTGAACGCTCAACGGAGCTGTCCATGGCTCATAAATATACTGCTTTGGCATATCTGAATCATAACAACTTATTAGCTAGTGAGTGCATAAACTGGTAAACAAACTTACCACTAGGGTAATGAAACTAGCTTCAGTTACCTTTCAGTACCGGGAGAAAATGCTTGATGTACTTCCCATCAGGATCATACTTCTTTCCAAAAGATATAGGAGAGTATATGCGGTTGTACTGAATACCACCACCAAAGAAACATCGTCTTAGAAAATGTAAGCATATGAATAAATAAACTTTGGAAACAAAAAATAGATCCATATGGTAAGTGATGGGAGACAATGCCTGGTAAAAGAAGGAGGAACATGACAACCACACCCAGTTCCCATTATTAATTGCCCAGTCTGAATCAATCAAAAGCCTCTCGAACACATCACGCCCTTGTTCCCAATGTATGAACTAGCACAAGAGACATCATGCATGTCAAGTGAAATTTTCTGAGGAAGGGAGAACCAATAACAGTAGAGGCAGCAGCATTACCAGATCCCCACGAGTTAAAAAACAGGCTACACAGTGACGCGCTAGATGGTGCATCCAACCCCATTTCAGAAGCTATAAATTACATTGACAGAACGGTTCATGAATGATTCATACAAGGAAGCTATAAGAGTATATTCACTTAAGACTAAAATCAAACCTGAACCATGATGGCATCAATCCAAGGGTATCCTGTTTTACCGTCTCTCCAAGCAGCCAACATATCATGGTCCTCTTTCCAGGGAATCTATGTTACATATGAAACAAAAGTGGTCCAAGAAAGCATTAAAATATCCTAAGTTAAAGAAACTTGATAAGAGAATACTCAAGATGTTAGCTAAATACCTGCTTACAGATTGGATTTCCCTTCATTTTGTCAAAGTTACGAGTTCCAAATGCAGTGGTATAGAAAAATTCTCGCCACAACAACTAGATAGACAAAAAAGGGAGAGAGATTAAAAACTTCCACAGTCAGGTATCATAAGAAACTGTTAGTCAACGACTGACCTGTCCAAGGAGAGAAACTGGTGGCGATGTATGCTTTTTCACATCCTTGTAAACACGTTGAAGGCATTGATAAAAGTACCTCGAAGAAAGGCATCCAAACTTCTCCATAGTCAGGTAATATACAGCAAAAAATGGAGTGAAAAGCTTAAGTGGAAAAATTATCTCTGTAACTTACTTTCAAATAAGGTGACAAAACAGTAGTTGCAGGCTTCAAGAATGCAGATGGATCTCCCTTTGGTTTCTCAAAGTTAGCCACCCATGCCTACCCTTCAAATAAAACTTATATTGACACTCATAAAAAGATACAATATCTCTGAAGTAAATAGCTTCCAAGTTCTTGACCATACCTTATCACTGATTGACTTCCTCAATCGTTTCAAGGCCTCTGATTCCCCACCTCTAAAAGGCGTCCACTCATCCTACAGACATTTACACAAGTATAAGTTTCTCATATAAAAACATTCTTAACTACTCAAAGAAACAAGATCATCTCTTAACTTGTTCATCATCTCTATAACCAAGCTCCTGAAGTGTCGGTACTTCCGAAACTCCAAGACTCCCAACATCTCCAACCGGTGGAAGTGAAGAATAAGACATCACAAGTTCAGAATCAGCACAAGAAGGCTCCCCAGCAATCTTCAGAAACGACTGGTAACTCAAAGGTGCCTTCCCACCATTCTAACTCGCAATAAAAAAACATAAACACAAACCCTAAATCTTCACAGTTCCATAAATTCAAATCCAAAACAAGAGCAAAAGAACTTACTTTATCTATAATCTCAGTGGGATTGAAAAGAGTATGACTCACTGGAGAGAAAACCTCAACACCAACTGAAGAAGCATACTCCTACCAAGATGAACATCTATATTATTATTAACATCAAGTAACTAAACTCTCAACTTATTTCTTTTAACGTAAACAGTTAAGTTTTAATTTGATTTTGTAGTTCAAACAAACGTACAAATTAGTGTTTCCACCGCACGGTTACATCTACAGCTGCTTGACGCTATTAATACAAAACAAAATTTTGATAAACATAAAATTTAATAGGACAAAACTATATAAAACTAAATTATATAGAATATATCCAAAAAATTAAATCTGCGTGCGCGGAGTTATGATCTAGTAACTAAAGCAAGAACAAAACTTTGAAGGCGTAATGTTTATTACCTTAACTTTAAAGTCAAGAGCTTGGTAATAAGGATCAGTATCATACTCAAAGCAAAGCCTCTTCACCTTCCACTATCACAAAACCAAAATCAATTTTCACAAAAGTTTTAAACTTTCTACAGTAACAATACCTTTTTACCTCTTGCAAGCAACGAAGTATGACATCACTCGGTTCACCTTTCAAAACCAACAATCTCGAACCGAGTTTTTTTAAACTAGAATCGAGATCACTGAGACTCTCAAGCAAGAACCGGATCCGGTTCACTCCGGCACGTGACGAACCGGGGGAAAACGAAGATTGGTTCGGTTCCATGTAATGCGGGTCGATGACGAAAACCGGGTACATGGATCCGGAGCACTTTGAGGCGTGTTCGAGAGCCGGGTTGTCGTGAACACGGAGACTTTTACGGAACCAAACCAGTGAATTGGATCCGGTAGACATGGATGTTATGGGGTTGAGATGGTGACTTGAAGGCGAGCAGACAGAGGAGGGTAATCGTCGCATGGAGTTTTGTCGGATAATTCTGGGTAACTTTCGCGCCTTTTTGAGGAAAAATAATGGTTCGTGAGAGGGGGAGATGGTTAACGTGCGGTTAAAGTACGCTCGCAATGTTGTGTGTTTGCTAATGTGCGCGCTAGTAGGCGTAAGATAGAGGAAGGGTGTAGGTTATTCTCAAACGGTTGTGTTTGTTCCACGTCATTACTATTGTGGAAGATCATTTCAGTGATGTGTTCAATTTTCCAACGTTATATAGTCAGCTTGAACTGGAATAGTAAGTACCAACCCAATGCATTTGTGATTCCCACGAACCAGGCACACTTCTTTATTTATGGACTATCTCCAAAAAAACAATTCTCCACAGTAAACCTAAAGTTTGTAATGTAAAAAGAAAAGAGTTTGTAAGTTTGCAACTCCTGTCCAATTAGGGTTTTCGATTTCGAATTCCTAGCCTCCCAAAAGTGAATGAGGCGAAACCTCAAAGACGCTTCATGTGGACTGAGAGAGACATCCCTGAAGAACATCAGAGGATGGAGAGCAATAGAAGTGTTAGGCATCGTCGGAGTGGGAGCCGTAACATGAGCCTTGTCGTGAGGTTTGGAGACAATCGCGGTGGAATCGGAATAATTCCCCTTTGGTTGAGCAGTCGCGGAGGAAGAGTTTCATTTTGTTGAACAGTCGCGGAGGATGACATAATCTTCTTGTTGGTTTTCTTGGGTTCCATTGGATCGTTTGTGAGATAGAGTAGAGGTTCTTAAAATTTTAATCGAAAAAGAAATTAAGAAGGGGGGCCTATAAATACAAAGTTGGCGAGGAAGGTGAAAGGAGAAACCCATCTCATCTGAGAAACTGAAGGATTGATGAGATGAAGCCAATAACTGATTACAAAAGAGGTGGGTTTGATTACTGGAAAAACTGAAGAGGAATTAGCTCATCTCATCTGAGGAAGTCGAAAGGTGAGAGAGGTGATGAGTTTTGTAGGATTCTCCGCGACAACAAATGAAAACAAATTAAAATTCCGACCGAAATCAAATCGGGATGCGGTAATAAAGCAAACCGGGTCCGAATTCGCAGAGATAAATCAATTCGCAATTGGATTTCTCAGGGATAAACCAAAATGACATGGTTATTTTAAACCCTATTATTGGTTAAATATTGCTGGTGATATGGATAGGTTAAAAATACTTCATTTGCACCTTTTAATAGTAGTTGATAACCATACTTAATAGTCAAAACAGTAGTTCAAACATTAAAAATTGATAAAATTCAATGAAAAAATAATTCAATCCAAATTCGAAAAGCGAGTAGAACCAATTTGACTAATCGATCGACTAAGTTTTAATTGATCATGTCATATTCTTATTGACTCTGTTTTTGTCTTTATGCAGGTTGACCACAGATAATCGTAGACTTAGGGAAGATGATGTGGGCTAAGCCTATATGGACTTGTCTCTATGGGCCCATTCCAGTTTTGTTGCTGTGGACTGCGGCCTGAGAAGTGTTTGAACTATTAATCGTCACTGTGTAATTTGACACGTACGCGTTAATCTGAAGTAGAGTGTGACCAAGTCTCCCAAAGTGCCGGAATCTAAAAAAAAAAAAGAGCATCAGTGAAGAGATTCGGGCAGAAAAAAAAAACGGTTAGGAGGGATTCGCTAAACCATCGAGGTGTGACCTGAGAACACGTCATCAATTCGTAACCATGTGGAGAAGACACGTCTCCTCTCATCTCAAAACCCTAGCCGCCGATATCGCCGCCGCTTCTCCTCGCCGATCGATCTCAACCACCGTTAGACCGGTTCGCTTCTATCTCTCCACTCCCGCTTCTTCTTCCATCATCCCTCGTCGTTTCAGCTCCGAATCAGGTTGATGAATCACTGCTGTAGCTTTTTACCGTTCTCAGATCTCGGATTAGGATTCTGTTTACGGTTGATTTAGAATGCAATCGTAGCCGTGTAATCGTATAATGATGGATTTGGATTTACTGTCATTCTCTTTGTCGATTATTTGCTACTGAATATGTGCAAGAGCGTGGTGAATGAGTGTTATTACCGTTTTGTCCTTTTTTGGCAGTGGAGACGGTTGGGAAGAAGAAGGTGGAGGATGTGATGCCTATTGCAACTGGACATGAGAAGGAGGAGCTTCAAGCTGAGCTTGAGGTGATTTATTACTTGTGTTTTTGTTCGTCTCTTTGCATCTTAACATTATATATAAGTATGATACTGTGAACACATTTGCTTTACTGCAACTTCGCATGAGTTTCTGGAGTATTTATCTCTGCTTTATTTAAACTCTTCTTCAAGTTCAGCTGAGGAAATGAAATTTTAACTTTTGTTGTTGTAATCTTTGGGGGGCAGGGGAGGAGGCTGCTTGACATTGACTTCCCTGAAGGTCCTTTTGGAACTAAGGTTAGTTTTACTTTCTATTACCATTTACCAGAGATTGGTCGTGATTCTCGCGTGGAGTGTCTTAAATCTTATTAATACCGCCAAGTTTCGTATCGGTGTTTTTAGCTATCATAGACTTTATACTGAACACCCAGCACAGTTAGTTTATTGACGTATATGGACCACCCTTTGTTTTTATCCGTATTATTCCATCTCCCAGAAATAATTTCTGCTATGTCTATTTAAATCCTGTCTAGTTGTCGTCACACTAAAAGATTTTCTTGGTGAACAATGCAATATTAGTTCCCTGGATAAAGCACTTAACTTGGATTTGAATTGTAGTATATAGGGTTTGGTGAGTTCAACAAGTCTCTAAGCTTTGTTTGTTAGTTTAACTACATCCACTAACCATGATGCTTAGGTTCACGATGATCACGAAATTTTTGGCAGATGTTACATACATGTGCAAGTGTCTTTTCTTAGCATTCCTAAGTATCTTTTCTAGATTACTGATATCATATGGGTTTTGCATACTGTATAAATTACTGATGAGGTGCTACATTTGCATGAAACATTTGATATTTATTTTTCCATTTTCTCGTGTCGTTTTTATCTCTTGAGTGAGCAGTATTCATCCTCGTTTAGATACCATTTGATAACACTGTTATCATTTTATTGATACCAAAACTGTGTTTACCTCAGGAAGCTCCTGCAATTGTAAAGTCCTACTATGACAAGCGAATTGTGGGATGCCCTGGTGGTGAAGGCGGTAAGTTCACCTCTTCTTCTCACTACAATGATACTTCAAGTTATTGTTGAATATTTGGTACATGCATCTAACAAAAACAGATTTACACATTATCTACCAAAGACTTTTCTGATCTTTATTCCTTTTGAAAACTGCAGAGGATGAACACGATGTTGTGTGGTTCTGGCTGGAGAAAGGAAAGTCTTTTGAGTGCCCGGTCTGCACTCAGTACTTTGAGGTAAGTTAAAAGCTGAATCAGATGATCCAAATAGTAAAAAAAAAAAAAACGAAACGAGTCTCATCATAATCGCTTCATCACTCTGTTGAGAGTTCCAATATATGAATAATTGAGTTGGTTGATTATGTATGAATTTTTGCAGCTGGAAGTGGTAGGTCCTGGTGGGCCTCCCGATGGTCACGGTGATGAAGACGATGAGCACCACCACCACTGATTCCAGCTTCTTAGTTGCCACCGGCGAGTTAAACATTCTGTTTTCACTTTGTTTCATATATCATACAATTTTTGTTTATTGGAATTTAAAAAAGAAAAAAACTCCACCGTGGTGAAACACACAGTAAAAGTCTTTTTGATCGTTTTAGAGCAACACTTATAATGGTTGAGAAAATGTTAAAATCTTCCTACATGAAGTAAGTTTAACACAATTAATTATCTTTAATCAATAACTAACATAGTCTCCAGACATCTGGTTCAGGCTCTTTTGTCTGAACCACGCCGGCTACTAAACCGATTCACACGTGCTTAGTTTGGTTTGTCACGTACGAGTTAATTAATTTAAAGTAAACAGTGACCAATTCCAAATAAGAATCTGAGCAAAGAGACGAGCATTGGAATCGGTTTCGCTCTTCCCTTCGAGATCACACAAAAAAGTCATCATGTGGAGAAGAATAGTCTCTTCTCATCTCAAAACCCTAGCGTCCGATGTCGCCGCCGCCGCCGCTTCTCCTCATCGATCGATTGCCACAGCCGCGAGACACGTTGGTGGCTTCTCTCTAGCCGCCAATCGATCAGCCGTTTCCGTTATCCCTCGCCATTTCAGCTCTGAATCAGGTTGATAAATCCCTTTTTTCTTTTTTTTAGATCTCTGCTTATATGTGGTGGATTTAGATTCAGGTGATAAATCTAGCTGTATTGGTCTCTGAGATTATTGTTATTATTATTTTGTTGCCAAAAAGGAAGCATGTAGATTGGTTTAGTTCTGTTAGAGGTAGTGTGTACTTGGTCTGCCTGCCCTAATTTGATGTTGGAGAGTGAATGACTGTTATACCCTTTTGTTATCTGCAGTAGAGACGGTTACAAAGAAGAAGGTGGAGGATGTAATGCCGATTGCTACTGGTCATGAGAAAGAAGAGCTTGAAGCTGAATTGGAGGTGACTCTCAATGCATTTTTAATCATTCATATATGAGTAGTGAATTA